AAAAATAAATAAATTAATTAAAAAAATTTATGTTTGAAATAAAATATTTGATATTTACTTACTAGTTTTAATTTTTTTTATATATAAATGAATAGCTATAGTTAAAAAAATTAGAGTTATGTAGTAAAGTTTAAGTAGACAGTGCTTAAAATAAAAAGATTAGTACATTAATAAATAAAGGTTTATTAATTATTTAGTCTAGAAGAATATAATATTGAATGAAAATCTTCAATTATGTTATTATAAAAATCTAAATTTATCACTCAAAATTTAAAGAATATTAAAATTATTTGTTAGAAATCAAATAACGAAAGATTGAATAAAAAACTTCAATATTTGAGCAAACTAATAATATTCATCTAAATATCTTAAATAAATAAATAGATTTATTTATTAGTTTGTGCAACCAACAATCAGATCTATCTATACCCCTACATAAATTATTATTTAATTTTAATATATGTATGTATGTATGTTTTTTATCTACTGTAATCAATCAATCAATCTATATATTTTCATTACTTTTTTCTTTCATTCATCAAATTCAAGTTTTTTATTTTTATGAGCTTTATTTAATTCAAGCTTTATGCTTATAAAATTTCAAAGATATTTATTTGTTTTTTATAATCTGAATTTATTTCTAGTTTTTTACTTTCTAATTATTTAATTTATTTAGCTAATTTCATCTTTTAAAATCTATTATACACAATATCTATTTTTTTTTATAAATGCTAGGAAATTTCGTGATTAAAACTTGACTTATTTAGGATCTATCTACCAGCATTATCAAAATGTCAAAATGTCAAAAGTTATAATTATATGCACGTTACAAACTTTCAAAGATAGATAGATTAAATACACCTTCATATTTAAATGCAATCATAAATATATAATAAAATAATACCATGTATTTTATAATTAATTATGGATTATCTGAGGCACAAGATTTAGGATTAGCAACATGTAAAATATGTAGGAGTATTATATATTTAGACTTTGATTTAAAGTAAATTTGAATTCAAAACAAATATATTTATTATACACACATTTAATACTAAAAAAATACTTTTTGAATATTCAAAATAAATGATTTATTTATTGATATTTTTGTTAGCCAAAATAAAACTGGAGATCAAGTAATTAATATCAGACTAAGCTTATGAATTAGAGCAAAGTGCTATATATAAACTCATTAGTTTGAAAATTAGCTTATTGTTATTTATTTTTAATAATTTGTTTTTAATTTTCTTTATTATTAATTAATATAAAAAAGCTTAAAAAATCTTCAATCTTTATTTAAAAAAAATAAAATAATTTTTTATTTAAAATTTATTATTGTCATCAATTAATTTATTTAAAGATAAAATAAGGTTGGTGAAGAAGGCATTTATTTTTAAACTCTTTTCCTAAAATAAAAAAATACCTTGAGATTAAAAACTTTGAATTTAAAAATCTCGTAACTCTGCAAATAAGTTAGTTAGTTAGTTATTTATTTATTTTTTATAAAAAGGAAGAAAATAATGACAAATATTATTTAAAAAGTAAAAACAATAAAGAGCTGATGATAAAATATAAAACTAATTAGTTAGTTATCTTAATTTTTAAAAACATAAATTAGATCTATTTATAAGCGAAATTTACAATACCAAAATGTAGATCTTAAATCAAAAAAAATATATATATTTTTTGATTATACATTCTTATTTGTATAAGACAAATATCGATTTTAAATTAATTAAAATAATTTTTTTTGGTAAAAAAATACTTTGGTGAAATATTAAGAACTTTAACAAACAAATAAGTAGATAAAATAGATTATAAGTAGAATAAAAGAGCTTGGTATTCATTCCAGCATTCACAGAAATAGCAAATAAATAAATGAATATTTAAAAAAAATATATATAATACTATTAAATTTCTTCTTAAAATATAAATTGGCAAATTTCTCATTAAAATAAATATCATTTTTTAAAAAATTAAGAATTTATTAAAATTTTTAATTTTCAAACAAAATGTTAGAAAAAATTAAAAATTAAGTTTAATATTTTCTTAAAAATTAAAAAAATTTATTAGAAATTAATAATATAAATGTTAATTATTTATTGTAATGCTTGTTTGTTTTAATTAGATTTCAAATATTTAATTTGGTAGAATTTCTTTCTAATAATCAATTTAATATCTAAAAATTTGCTCGAATATAAAATATTGATTGATATTTAAGAAAATCAGAAGTAGGTTAGTTTTTATAAACATATGTAAAAGGTAACTTCCTCTTAAAAATCTAATGTGATAATTTGTAAATACCCATTTTATAATTAAAGCCTTCGAATTCTTCATTGTCGTCTAAGTTCTAAAACATAGATTTAAAGTAATTCAATAAACATTTATTTTTATTATTGGTTTTATTATTCATGAATTACTTCAAATTTTTAACTAACTAACTAACTAACCAACCAACTTATTTAATTAATTAATCTTTAAGAAATATAAATAAATCTTGTATAAAATAAGAAATATTTTTTAATTAAGAAGGTGTGAATTTTTTTTTTATGAGGCAGGTGACAAATATTTAGAATAAATAAAATCATCCTTTTAGTAAGCTGATTTAAATTAAAAATTTCTAGTGATTTTAAATTTATTAAAGAAAAAAATCTTCACTTATTTTTTATTTGAATTTAAATATTTGATCTTAGAATATATTTTTATAAATTTATTTTTTTATTTCAGGAATTAAGTCATGACATTGATAGGTAGAGAAAAGCTTTCAAATTTATTATCTGAGCTGTCTAAATGCTCGAATCTCATAACTTTGATTTTAAATCTATAGTAAATTTTTTGATTTTGTTAATTTTTTAAATCTAAAAGGAATAAATTCTTTCTATTTTTCTCTCTATCTATCTATCTGTTTCTCTATTTTATTAAAAAATTAGTTTTAATTTCAATTTTATTTTTTTTAAATTTAAAATTATTAAAATATTTTGGAAATGGCAACTTACTTTTTACTTTAATTATTAAATAATTTTTTCATTTACTATTAAGGAAAAGCTTTTTTAATAATAAAGATCTTGAATATGGAGAATTTGGTTGTGAATTAGCAAAGCTCTAAAAACTCAAATAATTTTAATTAAATTTTAGGTAAATTATTTTTGAACTAATCCAAAAAAATGCATTATAAGATTTTATTTCATTTTAGATGCTAAAAACTTAAAATAAAATCTAATAATAAGTTTATTTAATTATACTAAAAGCTAAAATTAAGTTACAGAACAATTTATTAGCGAATTTAGCTCAGGATTCGAATAATTACCTAATATTTTAGAACTTAATCTTAATTTTAAGTAAGATCGATTAACACAATTTCATTTTTCTTTATAATACAGACAATCTCCTTATTTTAATAAGGAAACCTTCCTTTTATTTATTTTTATTTGATAACAATCAATACTATTTCTATAAATATATGATTAAATTTATCAAAAGTAAATGTAAAATGGATAGCTACAGTATATTTACACTAGTATCTGCAATTTAAAAACGCTTTAATCTAACAAAATTAAATTTAAATATGAAGTAAATTAATTTTTATTTACATTATTTCTAATCTTTAAAATTCTTAACAGGATATTAAATCTTACAAATATACATAAAATTTGATTAACTACTATAATTTCTAAAAAAAGTTCAATATAAATTGATTAAAATTCGTTATCGGAATTAAGCTCTAATTTATCTAAATTAACTATTCTGGAATTTTTGACACTTAATCTAGAGTAAGTTTTTATCTTTTTGACTACTTAAAATTTATTTTAGCAATCTGTTGAAATGTATTTTAGACTAATTCTTTTAGTTTATTTCAATATTTATTAATAAAAAGAAGCAATAACATTATAGATGAAGGAGCTATTGGATTAAGTCAAGCTATTTTGTAGTTAGTAAATCTCAGATATCTAATACTTACATTAAAGTAAATAGAAAATATTAATTACATTTTGTTTATTTTATCTTAATTTTTAATAACCAAATCGATTATAAAAAAGTAAAAAAGAATTAATTAGATAAATAAATAAATAATCTAGTTAATTTATTGATAATTTATTATATTTTCAAATCTTCTTCTTAAATTTTCGTTTATTTTAAAAATTATTCACTTATTAATTTTAATAAATTTGATAATAAAAAGCAATAACAAAATAACTAGTATAGGAGTTTCAAATCTAATTTAAAGTTTAGAAAAATGTAAAGATATATTTTAACTAAATCTTATCTTTAAGTAATTTTATTTATGAATTATCTTTTTATTTAATTTCTAAATCATGAAACTATCCAGCTTAATTACTTACTTACTTACTTACTTACTTACTTACTTACTTACCATTTTAACATTTAAAAACTATTAAATTAACTTTGATTTTTTTACTTTTAATTTTTGCAAAGCTTTCTTTGTATTTTTTTGAATTGCAGATAGAATAAGAAAAGTTAAAATAACTTAAATATCAATAAAATTTTTTTACATCTAAAGTGACAATCAAATTAGTGATTAAGGTGTAAAAAGTTTAGGCTAAGGTTTAAGTAAATACTTGAAACTTACTGAATTATCTATTGGTTTAAGGTAAATTAATTAATATATTTATTTATTTACTTCTTTTATAACAGCATAAAAATAAATAAATTGTAAACTTAAATAAATCATAAATTCAATAATATTTATGTTAATTAATTATTGTTAAATTTATTAATAAATAAATTTAAAAAAATATTTAAAAAAATTATCAAATTTTATTTATTTAATTTAAATTAAATAAAAAACTAATTTATTAAACATAAAACAAACTTAAAATTTTAAATATGAATAAAATTTATTTTTTTATCAAAAGTGGCAATAAAATAAGTGATGAAGGTGTAATAATTTTAGGCTAATATTTAACTAATTGTATTGAACTGACTAAATTATCAATTAGTTTAAGGTAAATTTACTTACTTCTTTTATAACAGCTTAAAAATAAATAAATAAATTTTTATCTTAAATCAATAACTATTTTAATTATTTTATGCTTATTATTGTTAAATTTATTAATTAAAATGAAGATCTCAATTTGTTACTTGCTAGGGAATAGAAACTTTTTCAATTGAATTAAACAAGTGCAGTAAACTTTATTGGGTTGATATTGAATTTGAGTAATTTTTTTAGTTTAATTATTTATTTATTTATCTTATCTAAATTAATAAATTCTTTAATCTAAAAAGTTTTTAATATAAATTTATTTTCTTCTAATTAATTTACATATTAATTTTTTTTTTACTATTAATTTTCTAAATCTTTCTAACACGTATTTATTATACTAAATTAATTAATCTTATAATAATTTACAGTTGGAATAAAACAATTGTCAATAATACTTAAGATCTATTAAGTTCAGAAAATATTGCCAAATATTAAAGTTTTTCAATCAGGTAAATTAAGTTTGTTAGATATATATATATAATTAGCTACCTATTTTTATTTAATTTAAGAATGATTAAATTTTAAATAAATTTTCTATCAAAAATCATGAATAAAAAATAGTATAATTTTTGGAATAGTTAAATAATGCTGCTTTTTTATTAAAGCGACTAAATCTTTTCTTATGATTATTATTCAAACATACATAGATACATACATGATAATATTTAATAAAATTTAATAATAGATTTTAAAAATCATCAGGAACGAGTTTTGGATCTTACAGCTATAAATATGTTTTGAAGATAAAATTATGGTAAATAGTTTACTTTTCATTATGAATCTGTTCGATTTTAGGAGTGTTGAATTTGAATGAATAAGAATATTTAATTATTTTATTATTTTTAAGAACTACAATAAATTTTTAATTTTTTAAAATCTATCTTGAATGACCAATCAATCGATTTTTCAATGAATATTGATTTCAAATAAGAAAACTTACTTTGAAATATTTCTAAATTTTTTATTTAACATAAAATTAAAATTTTTTTTGTGTAATCAATTAAAATTTTTAATTTTGAAATATTTTAATTTATTTATTTAAATATTAAACATATTTTATTTACTTTAAAAGGTTTAACTAATTATTAATGTGGGAAAATGATATGTTCTTTGGTTTTAACTAGTTAGATAAGTTTTCACATTTTGAAATGTATTTGAAGTAAATTTAATTTATTTATTTATTTATTTATTTTCTACTTATAATAAAAATAAAACTATCCAAAATTTTTTATCAAAAATTTTTTAACTGAGTTATTAACTAGTTCAATTAAACTAATTAATTTTGTTTCTACAATTTCTTAAATTGCATTTATTTATTTATTCTTAAAAAAATGTTTTCTTTATATTAAAAAACTATATTTAATCAATTAATATCAAAAAGTTGTAGCTTGATAAATGATCAAATTGTAAAAGACTTAGGTTATGGATTAGCAAGATATTAAAAGCTCTAATACTTAATTCTGTATTTATAGTAATTTTATTTATTCTTAATAATTTTAAGATTACATACTCTTTTAAATAGCACAGAAGACATATTTTTTTTTACTTATTTATTCTTATCTGTATTTTTTAATTTGAAAATCAATAATAATATTTAAAGTAGCAAT